AACATTTTCAACCGAACAATTAGTAACCGACGACGGCACTATGGAAACTGATTCTGACAGTACGAGTGCGTCTCCAAGCCTGGCTACATCAACGCAATCTATCGACACATCTGCAGAAACAAGCCCGTCAGAAATATTTACAGAACAATCAACCTCTACAGCGACTACTGTTTATAGTTCGATAGCTACGCAGCATCAAACTAAACCCACAACTGTAAACACAGTGGGTCCAATATCTTTGTCAACCGAACAACAAGTAACCGACAACGGTAATACGGAAACTAATTCAGAGGAGTCAATGTCTACGACCACTTCTTTTTATAGTTCGTTGGCCACAGAGCTCCGAACAAAACCTTCAACGGAAACTTTAGTGACTGAAAGTGGTAGTACGCCTGCAGCTCTCGTGACAACTAATACAAACACCCCTCCATTCAGCTTTACTCCTTATTTTAGCACGGAAAGGTCCACGTCGCAGACAATGACGACTCAAAGTGGAATCACAGATTTTTCACCTCTAACGGATCAAACATTTATTTCGACGGAACGACTAACGACTTACAATGGTTACACTGTACCTCATTTAACGAGTAGTGTCTCTGACTCGTCAGCATGGGATACTTCTACAGACGCGTATATTGTTTCAAGTGCCGCGTCGCAAAGTTTTCCAGAACAATTGACGACTTCAGCGATTACATATTCTACCTCTTTAGCTACCGAGCTTGAAACAGAATCTACGATGTCTGCGCAAAGTGATACTGCAGCACTAACAACTTTGACAACAATTAATAGTTCTGAGGACTTTACAACTGACATGTCAACTAAAGCAGATCGCTCCTCGACTACGGAGACCCTTACACCATCGACGGCGTCTTCCGGCGTTTCTCCTAGCGGTAATTTATGATTACTTGGTTTTCGGTGCTTTTTCATTAACTTTTAAGAGAACAAGTTAATTTTAATTTTGAGTTACCTCAGGCTTTAGTACAGTTAGACTATTTTTTTGCTGGTTACAGTAGCATCAAACTACTCATTTTCGTATCTTTTGCTAACACTTAAGAGGACAGTGCAAATTTTTGGCTCTTGAGAGGCTTCCGGTCTTGTGTGGGATACAAAAAAAAGTGACGTAGGATAGTTCTGAGTGAGACACGCTCAATTTATCCGCTTTATACTTTAAAACCGCCCAGAACGAACATCGAACACGAACGTGTTAAGTCTATCGTTTATTGGGGTTAATAGATTTTCGTTTATTTTGCCCTAGATAACGATCGCACGTACTGCCAAATGGTACTATCAAGGTTAAATTAATACTTGAGTTTTTGGCTGTTGTTTTTAGGCCCGCGATTAGCGGTGCCTATTGCTTTCGCCCGAAAGTTTTGTCTTTTTATTCTTGACGATGGCCCCTTATGGCACAGCCGATCGTGCCTAAGCGAATTTAATGAAATTTGAATGAAAAATACTACAGAAAATTGGGAATTTTTTGAGGTATGTGTAATGCAATTTTGTCTGATAAAATTTGAGAAATTTGAGTTTGCATCCACTCGTTTCCATGGAAATGACGAGCTGAGCAGCAGGCCGAGTCGAGCCAGGGAA